AATTTGCCTGTATTACAATTTAAGAAATAAGATATTATAAAATATTATATAAGTATTTGCAGAAATTATGACTGGTGGATTTGATGATAGATTCAATAGTGGATTCGGTAGTAGATTTAATAGTAGATTCATTGATAGATTCATTAGTAAATTTATTGATAGATTTGATAATAGATTTGATAGAATTTGATAGTAAATTTGTTGATGAATTTGTTGGTAGATTTGTTAGTAGATTTTGATAGTGAATTTTGATAGTAGATTCATTAGTAGATTTGATAGTAAATTTTAATAGTAGATTTTATAGTGGATTTGATAGTAGAATTATTGATAGATTTGTTAGTAGATTCGCTAGTAGATTTGATGATGAATTTGATAGTGAATTTGATAGTAAATTTGATAGTAGATTTGTAGTAGATTTGATAGTGGTTTCATTAGTGATATTATCTAGGTTACAAAATAGTAACCTGGATTAATAAAGTTCAAGTCAGATACCAACTAGGGTCATAACCCGGGTTGTACAAATTAGCCAATCAGAGCTATCTTTTGTAGTTTTTTATTATTCTAGCCAATCAGCACAAGCATATTTACTTATGTATAACAAGACCAATTATGAATTTGATTATTATTAAAAAAAATATATATCTTGAAACATTATTGAAGCAATAATTTTAGCTTCAACTCTAAGACTAATTCTAATCTGAATAAAATAGATTAAAATAATTCCCAAGTAGTAAATATCTTATTTAAAATTTAACAATTGTCAAATTTTATTAAATATCAACATATTTATCATTAGAAAAAAATTGATTAATAAGTGCCTAAGGTGTTTGTAAAAAAAAAAAAATAAAAAAAAATAAATATACTTGTGCAAAGTCTATTTATATTCAAAATATCTGTAAAAGGTTGCCATTATAAATATTTTATTAATTTTATTCTACTGATAATATATTTTATTAGTGTTTTTTGTAGATCTATCTTGAAATAATAACCAATGTTATATATTATATTTTACAGATATCTACACGAACTTGATATAAATAAGTTACAGGTAGGACCATCCCAAATAAAGAAATGATGATCCCAATCATGCATGTTTAGTTTAGCCAATCAAAATTGTAAATGATAATCCATAATCATATGATAAGTATCACGTGTTAATTAGCCAATAAAATTGTAAATTTTTATAAAATTAAAAGAAATGAAAATTTATAATTAAAGTCCAAAATAAATACTGCTAAATATTACCGTTAGA